GTGTGTGTGGTGTGTGATGGGTGTGTGTCGTGTGTGTGTGTGTGTGTGTGTGGTGTAGTGTATAATCTTTCATGTATTCATCAAAGTTTGTTTTCATACGAATGGGATTTGACTGATCCCATAAAAATTATTATTGGTAGAATAGGCTGCGATTAGCTAGCACGTGACTCGTGACGTCACGTGCAAAATTATTCTATCTTGTATTTCTTTTTCCCGCTAGCTGTATACATATATCCATATTTATATATTCTCTCAAGTGTTTATCAAAGTTACTTTCATGCTAAATGCGAATAATAGAAAAGTCGTATTTTCTCGTTTTTCATTTGAAATGTTTTGGGGCACCATAGATATATAAAACACACGTGTTGTATATATCTATGGGGGCACACACCGGTAGATTCAGCTTTTGGGAATGGTTGAAAGATGGCGCTGTGGCGTCACTTTCATGTTAAGCGTGGATATAGGTGTTGAACAACAGTAGAGGGCCTCCATAGGCTGCAATAAGCATCGAACAGAAATTAATTAAAAATACGCACACTGTCACTGCGCTTACAAAACATACACTTTATTTATTCCGTGTTCACACTGTCATGGTTTGGCTCGGGCCGATTTGAGTCGGAGCGTAATATACCTGTACCTGTACTAATAATACCTATACCTGTATTCATAATACCTATACCTGTACTAATAATACCTGTACCTGTACTAATAATAGCTGTGCATGCACTAATAATACCTGTGCCTGTACTAACAATACCTTTACCTGTACTAATAATACATGTGCCTGTACTAATAATACCTGTACTTGTACCTATAATCCTGCTACTAATAATCCTGATACTTTGGTCACTAATCAATACCTGTACCTGTGCTAATAAGTAAACTGTAGCCTGCTACTAATAATAATTGCTTACCTGTACTAATAATACATGTGCCTGTTACTAAATAACTACATGTGCCGTGTACTAATAATACCCTATACCTGACTAAAATAGCTGTGCATGCACTACATAAAAAACAAAATAAACCTGTGCTGTACTAACAAGTTACCTGTCCTGTACTAATAATACATGGACTTGTACTAAGAATTCCTGTACCTGTATAATAATACCTGTACCTGCCTACTAGATATAATTACCTATAC